CGATATGCGATCGTTATTTAAGGCATGATTCTATTTTTATTTCTTCCGTTTCTGTATTTCTTATTTGCTGTAGCATCTGCTACATTCGTTCGCGCGCGTCGTCCCTGTCGCCGCGACGCGACAATTTCGTTCCTACTGCACCACACCCTATTTAGGTTACTGTTTCATATACAGTAATTTAGCCTACTTGATTTGAGCTCATTTTATAATAATGAAGTGGTTTTGGAGAGTTGAAGGAATGTCAAAAACAAGTAGGACTAATTGTTCACCTTGAGGTTGTAGTTGAGGTTGAGGTTGGAACTGAGACTGCTGCTGGGTAGCTGCAGGAACTTGCTGAAGGGGCATATACAGGTTAGGCTGTTGTCCGTATACACTTCCAATGGGTTGTGGCATCTAAAAACAAACAAATTGCTTCAAATAAACAATTTTACTGGTTGAACAGTACCTGCTGCATGGGCAGTTGATTGAATGGATTGTACTGTTGTGGTGGGATTAACCCTGGAAGGACAGGGCTCTGGATCATGTTCGTCATTTGGCCAAGACCATATTGTGGTTGAGGTGATGGACTCATAACCATAGGTTGTTGTTGCTGTTGTTGTTGTTGTGGCTGCAGTTGTTGTTGTTGTTGTTGCGGTTGTTGCTGTAGTTGTTGCTGCTGTTGTGGTTGCGGTTGCTGTTGTAGTTGTTGCTGTTGTTGATTGTTTTGTTGCTGCTGCTGAGCATATCCTGGTGGTCCTGGAATTTGAGGATCGTGCTATTACAGAGGCATGCCCATGTCACCGATTGTGGCCTCACCGACGTGAACGGAGCCAGATCTTTGGGCTGTGCTATGTTGAGGAGCTGGTGGACCGGCCATCACATTATCAGTTCGTAGCGTTGGGCTGTTCATCGAAGCACCTGTCTGGTAGTTTGCCTAAATAGTAATGTAAAGAATTGTTGTTGTCGGGATGGGGTGCCTATTTCACCAGTTCTATCACTCGTATCATTACACGAATGTAGATATTACTCTAACCGGTGTTGTAGATGAGATAGAAGCAGTAGTTATAAAACGATGTCGTTGTTCACGATGTCGTATAGGCAGTGACTTCGGACTGACTCGTTGCTGAATCGAAGTGGAGTAACTCGGTTGCTCTTTAGGAATTTGCAATCAATAAATTTATTGGCTGCACGCTCCTAAACGCGCTTTGGGATGGAAACGTTTCTCTGGTTGGCCGTTGTAAGGATTCACCAATGGGAGGTGACTTATACATGAGCCCCCTCCAAACATTCGTGATTGGTCATTGTGTCCAATTGGTCGGGGTGTGCTGCACTAGGAACGACATTGTCGCGTCACGGCGAGAGCGACGTCGTGCGC